GTTTTCCACAATGATGCAGCAGCAGCAGAGGGGAGCAGACACCCAAAATTTGAGTCATAACAGGTCAATTGAATATCACATTTATTAGGGTTGAAAAAGAAGTTGCCAAGTTTAGATTTAACTGAACTGATTACAGTAGTTTCTGAACGGTAACTGTAACAGTAAAAGTGCTGATCCTTTGTGTCTGCAACTAGCATGTGCTAAATGAAAATGGGCACTTTCTTCTCCTTCTTCTTCTTGTGCTTTAGATTTCAACGCAGCTTGCATCCATTATTGTTGCACTACTGCCATCTACTGGATCCTAATATCTATACCTCAAATTCTCATAATGATCCCAGTATTATTTAAAAAACTGTTAAATATCATTTCCCCTCAATGCTATTTAACTGATCAACAACATTCTCAAATTTCAATTCCCTATTAAAACCGAATTCTGTTTTAATAGGTGCTTTCTTCTTTTATTTCCAATTTTGACTTCCAATGATTCACTTCCTGCTAAAGAGCCCCCTGGTGGTTGAAGAAAAATCCACATATAAGCCGCACTGGGTTATAAGCCGCAAGGTTCAAAGCTCAGGAAAAAAGCTTTGAACAAAAAATCTAAATGCTCTCTGGTATTGTTCAGGGGGCCAGACCAAATGTAGAGGCGGGCCGGATCCGGCCCATGGGCCGTAGTTTGGGGTTCTTTGGCCTTCCTGCTGTCGTCACCAGTAAAGTATTCAGAGCTAAATTTAAACCAACAACAAACAAACTGGCAACCGCTGGAGCAGAGCCACTGACACAAGCTGCATTTCCATTATAATCTTTGTAAATATTCTGTTGGTGTAAAAAACAGCGACGGTCTCCTGCTGAATGGAGTTTTGTCCTTTTGTTTCTTTTCTGTTTGTCTTGTGATAAAAATGAGCAGAGAGAAAACCTCCAGCTGCCTTGATGTCTGTTCTCTTGTGGGATTTTCCCAAAGTGGAGACAAACTGGACGTTTTACACCAAGTGTGTGCAACAGGAAGTTTTTGGTACTTTCCTCTTGATTGTCACCTCGTGGGTAATTATTGTTTTTATTTTCTGCAATGAATTTACGGCTAGTGGGAACAACATTTCAGAATGTCACAAATACCTTCTAAACAATATGTTCTGGTCAAACGTTTGTCTGGAATGAAAAATGTTTTATCTGGGATTCTACAAAAAACAGAAGAAAAAAATATTTTAATAATAATAATAAACTGGATGAAACTGAGAAGTTACATTTTATCAATTATTGCAATGAAATAATTATAGCTTTTGGTTTATTGTTTGTAATGGAACATTTGTTTTTTTTTTACAATATTAAAACATGAACCTGTTTGCATTGAAAATCAATAAAAACTTGTTACAAAAATGTTGGTGAGTTTGAGCTCAGGTATTTCTATTCCTTCCTCTCGATAAACACTCAGCATAAATCTCCAGTGGACATGACTCAGAGCGTTGCGTTTGACTCAAACAAACAAAACCACAAAACTAGAAATAAAGCACAAGTCAGGTTTGTTGAATAGTACATATTAAAAAAAGACCACTTCTGAACTTCATATTTAAAATAGAATGTCAGCAGTTAAAGTTTAACATCGACCTACGTAAGACATGACTTGTCAAGGCTCCGCCCCTTCCAAGACTCGCCTGAGGTTTTCCTGTAATCACACGTCCTTCCTCCTTGACTTGAACATAAAAACATCCAGCAACCTCTCTCAGATTAAACTGCCAGGATCTGCTGAGAGATCAGAGCTTAGCAGGAACTTTGGATGCAGAGCAAATAGTTTCCAAAGAAGCCAGAAGAAATGCCTCCAAAATCTCTGGACTTGTATTGCCCCATCTGCAAGGACGTCTTCAAGGATCCTGTTGATTTGCTCTGCAGCCACAGCTTCTGCAGAGAGTGTTTGAATAAATGGTGGAAGGACAAAATAACCCCAGACTGTCCGATCTGCAGGAGAATATCGCCAATCAGCAATGGCATTTCTGGAGAGGTTTTCTGCCGGCCGCATGGTGAGAGATTCAAGCTGTTCTGTGTGGATGACGAGGAACTTTTATGTCTCGTCTGTCAGCATTCAGATGGTCATTATGGACACAAACTCCAACCTGTGAATGAAGTAGCTCAGGGTCGGAGAAATGAGCTGAGAAGGGCCCTGAGGCCGCTGCTGGACAAACTGAAGGTGTTCAAAGAAGAGAAGGGAAACCTGGATCAGACAGCTGAATACATTAAGCTCCAGGCCCAACAGACCGAGGGACGGATCAAGGAACAGTTCAGGAAGCTTCATCTGTTTCTCCACAAGGAGGAAGACGCCAGGATTGCTGCTCTGAGGACAGAAGAAAGCAAGAAGACTCAGAAGGTAAGCCTAAAGATCGATGCCCTGAGTAGAGAGATCGCTGCTCTTTCACGGACAATAAAAGACACAGAGGGACTGATGAAGGCTGAGGATGCCGTAATGCTGCAGAGCTTTAGGACTGCCGCAGAAACCATCCAACAGCGCCTCCTGCTGGAGAATCCTCAGCCTGTCTCTGGAGCCCTGATAGATGTGGCCAAACACCTGGGCAACCTGAGCTTCAACATCTGGAACAAGATGAAGCATCTGGTGTCCTACACTCCTGTGGTTCTGGATCCAAACAGCGCAAACTTTGAGCTCATCCTGTCTGAAGACCTGACCAGCGTGAGATGGGGCCAGAAGCAGAACATTCCCGACAACCCGGAGAGGTTTGACTTCTTCCGCATCGTCCTGGGCTCGGAGGGCTTCATGACGGGAACCTACAGCTGGGACGTCGAGGTTGGAGACAACACAGACTGGTTTGTGGGAGTCGCCTCCCAAAGCGTCCAGAGGAAAGGAACCCATCCCAGCCGTCTGTGGAGAATCGGCTGCATTGACGGTCAGTACGTGGCCCGGGCCCTGTCGGAACCGTCCACGGTTCTGCTGGTGAACGGACGGCTCAGCAGGATCAAAAGCATTCTGGACTGGAACAGAGGGAAGCTGATGTTCCTCGACCTCAACACCAACACTGTCATTCACACCTTCACTTATTCCTTCACTGAGAAGCTGTTTCCTTACTTTAACTCTGTGCATGCGTCCCCGTTGAAGCTGGTGCCTGAAAATGTGTCTCTGAGGTTCAGTTAACCAGACAGTAAAGCTGCTAAAAGCTCCAGCCGCTTTAAGAGGATCAGTGCAATGATACTAAAACAGAAGAACAAAAGGGATACAACTCTCTGATTTTATTAAGAAATGCTTTTACTTTGTTTTCTCATAACATTTCAACCACATTTTATTTTACTGTATAGACTGAAGTATCTTCATTTGGACAGTTTAAGTGACTCAAACTGAAATAAAGCTGTTGATCAAATAAACATTTGTGAAACTGTCTTTATTTGAAGTGAATCATGAAGTGATGTTCTGACAGCATGGAAGTCATCCACTGAAGACCATGAAAGCTTGTCCTCCATTTTTAGCTTCAGAATCGGTCCAGCCCGGTCCAACCTGACTGACTGTACTGAGACCGGCGGCTGAATAGAACCCGACATATCATTTTAATTTATTTCAATTAATGATGCTTTTAGTGCTTTCATTTTTATCCACCCTCTCCCGTTTTTATCCAGTGTCTTCCGGCTCCGAGTCACGGTGAAAGGATGAACTCCCTGCTGCTGGTCGGTTGAATCTGTCCGTTCCTATGTTTAGACTGTAAACACATTAACACAGTGTTTTCTTTAGTCTTCTGTTCTGTGTGAGCTCCAGGCTTGTGAAAGATTCAGGAGCCTCTGAAGCAAATGCGCTCCGTAACTCTTCAGCCGTCAGCAGCAGGCATTCAGCCTCCGTCTCAGATATGACATTCAGAAAGGATTTTATTTACGCACAAAGTTGAAAATGTAGTCAGGAGTACAAATTGTAATCCATAAAAATGATGGACAGGCTTCAGATTTTTCCATCATTTAAAAAATAAACCGTCTACTTTCTACTGCAAATGTTTTATTACACCGAAAATAAGATGAAACTAACTTTTCAGCAAAGCTAATTATCACTAAGTGGATCTTTAATATTCATAAATGACCATTTCCACTGGCTTTAAGTGGCATGTAAAAGTATTCACACCCCTTGACCTTTCCCATGTATTGTCACATTACAACCACAAACATACATATATTTCACTGGAATTTTATGTGAAAGTCCACAACAAAGTGCTAATCAGTTGTTATATCGAAGGAAAGTTGTACATAATTAAAAAAACATTTTTCCCTTCCTGTTTCCTCTCAGCGGTGTCATCTGACCCACAGGACAAATATTAAAGACTTCAGAACGATGACGTGTAAAGACACAGAACCGGTCGGAGCAGCTGGGGCTGTTTGGAGGGGAGCGGCCTGCCCAGTATCGCCTTTTATCACCAGTAAAATATGTAGAAGTAAATTAAAACCTGTTGGCTCTAAAACAAACAAACTATTTTGGCATCAGAATCTGTTTTTCAGGTAGCTCACTGGAAAGTCCATCCATCCCTCTGATGTTCAACAATAAGGTCTGGTTTGGTTATAAATAACCTGCTTAGGGAGAACATCAACAAAAGCAGTAATTTAGATCAAAATGGCCGAGGCAGAGCGTCACCTGAAAAGGAAAATGATGAGCACATAGTTGAGTCTATAAATAAATAAATACTGCCTGATGAGGCCTCGGTGTTAAAGCCGCACAACGAATTAACAACTTCAACAACCCAAAAGTTTATGAGCAAACAGATTTCATCCTCAGGTCAATGTTTCATCAATAACCTCTAGGTCAGCTACACTCACCTAAACTAAGTAAAAACTAATGATGAAATGTAATAAACTAGTAAAAATATTACAGGAATAAAACCAATAACATGATTTAATGATGTCAGTTCAATATAAATTATGAATGTTGAGAAATCAGGAAATTAGAAACAGAAACGCCTGGAAAAGTTTCTGATCTGCAGCTGGAAGAAGGCTCAGGTCAGAGGTCAGAGGTCAGCCCGATCTCTGGTTTACAGCTGGACGAACTGAAGCTGGCTCTAGATCTACAACCCTAGATCTGTGAAACCAAAAACATCTCTGTCTCAACTGTTTTCTGAAAGAACATGGAAGATGAAGGGATATTTCCGCAGAGCGCCCGTCCTCTACGCGGATAGGACGCTGAGCTCATGAAGACGTTACTGTTTCCCTCTGGAACCTGAGAACATCGATTAGACCTCATTTATTGACGGTACAAGAATCATTTTTAACCAAACTTAATAACATTTGCTTGCAGCATGCTAAGTGTTTTATTCTATGAACAATTTGTTGATATTGTGATTCTCTGAATGTGTTTTATTTTAGTTTTAGAGTCGAAGAAAAATTTCCACCATGATAGATTAAATAGTTTCATTTTATTTCTTCTTCTATATGAGACTCTACAAAAAGTCTCTCAGAATAGCATACATGACACAATGAAAGCAAAAATGTGAATTTTTTGCTTGTATCTGTATAACCAGATTAGTTATTCTTCTGTGATTCATAATTCATTTGTTTATTGATTGATTTTTGCTCATTAGGTTTCCTATGTATACATTGAGAATGCTTCTTATTATGTTGTTTTTCATGTCTTACTTTTTTTGTTCCTCCTATAATTGACGGAGATAAATAGGTATTATTTAGAATAATAAAGGTCTTGTTTATGTCATTTAATTAGCTCTACATTTTTAAGAATATTTAAAAAGTATGTTGTTTTATTAGAGAATTTTTTATGGTGCCAATAATTCCGGGATTAGTAGTAAATAATAAAAACTTTGTGCTATTAGTGATGTAGTTATGTTAGTTGTATTACCACCCCCGCGCCACTAGAGGCAGCAGTAGACCTTAAAAGATGCAACTAAGGAGCAGATTTAGAAGTACACCGAAAGCTACAGAATTTAAGAACTGTGAGCTGCGCTGAAGTAAATAAAAGAGAGAAGTTCAAATACATGCTGAGAGTGAAACTCCGTCCTAAAGGTGAAGATATATCACAGATTTTTAAAAATAAAATAAAAACGGGAGAATAATATGAAATGGCGCCCCCTTCACTTCCATAGTGCGATGGTCCCATTTCCAGGTATGAGACTGCCAGCGGTCCGTCCCGCCCCTTCCTGTTTGCTGCAGTGAAGTGGATTTGGACTGATTCAGGTTTCATACCTGCTGCTTTTAGGGTGCATCACAGCAGCCCAGGATTAGAGCCCTGAATCAGACTCTAATGCGTTTGTCTAGAAAGTCCGATTCGTTTTGGAGGTGAGAATGCAAATTTGAATTCCAAAACAGACTAAAAAAGCGAACTCCAATCCGCCTAAAGACCTCAGACTCAGTCCGGCTGAAGCGAACTCTGAAACGGTTGGAAGGCAGTGAGAATGCAAAAGGACCGGAGACCGCTCCAAAAGCAGGAAGTTAGATACAGTGCAGGGCATTCTGGGTAATATCTGCTCTGCGGGTCAACGTGCCGACAGAAAGCAAGGAAAAGCAGAATATAAATGGTTTAAAGCTTTTCATTACTGTAGCGAACTGCAGCTGCTGTCATTTTTAAACCTTTGATAAATGAAAAACTGAACTATTTACCTCATTTGTTTGAATAACAATCAAATATGATGACATATTTCATATGTCTCATATATATATGAAGCATATGAGTCAAGGTTTGTTACATTTTGACAAACTCATTTTAACAGTGGCAATTTTGTAATAAATTATTCACCAATATAAAAGAGCAATTTGCTTAGTCCTCTCTTGCATCTTGATAGAAACCAAACTGCTTATAGATTTATATTAAGGGAGAATACTTACAAACATCAGCAATGTCCTCAGCTTTAATCTAAGCCATGTTTATAGAAATCGGGTAAGAAATAAAAGCGCTGCCATCATTTTTTGACAGCTTCCTGCTCATCCCGCATTGGAACAGCCTGGTTTGGTGGACAGACTCACCGCGCAGCAATGGCGCCTGCAGGAGCGTTGCTAGCGTTAGCGGCTAACAGGATGTCCAAACCAGTAAAGTATATCAATGGAGAAATCCTACAGCCGCTAAAACCTGACACCGCTTCGTTTATGTTTACTTTTTGTGAAGAAGAAAGTTGCGCTGCTCTTCTTCAGAGGGTTTGTGTCGATTCCTTCAGTAGCTGTTGATGCAGCGCCCCCAGAGGCGACGGGGGGTCATGGTTCCAGTTAGTTTGGGTCGTTTCCGTCAGGCTCTCTCGCGGCTTCCCCACCAGAATGCTGAGCGCTGGTGGAGGTGGGTGCGAGAGAGGCAGGTCTTCACTTCTTTTCTTACTTAGGGTCATATTTTTCTAGTTAAACAATTACCGAAGTACTGTAAGAATATTTAACATCTACAAATATAATTTGTAAAGTTTTTCTCGTGGTTGGGCTGGAAAAATGTGACCCTATGAGTGGGAGCTGGTGTTGGTGGCTGACCACTCAGTCACGGCGCTAACCGTGTCTTTTATTTTTCAGCCTGTCGGACCACTCGCCTGCAGTCAAAGCCACATTGTGAAGTTTTTTATTCTGTATTGTATTAGACGACCGACAACTAAACAAGANGACAGGGACAAAAAGGAAAGGAAAAAGATGGAGAGAGGAGAGAAAGAACAACACAACCTTGAAATCTGCCTCTAAATCTGTGGAAAGAGGAAAAATAAAAGTATGAATCAACAATAAACAACTTCTGCATATATAACAATAATCGTTATAACATGAAAGTGCATGGTACACAGTGGATGTGTGTGTGTTCCTGACATGAAGCTGACAGCAGGGGCAGCGGGGGGGCAGAAGTTCATTCCAGGCCTGGAGACAGAAGCCGTTATCAACCCAGGGAGACGTTTCCTTGTGTTTCTTCAGTTTTTGGGCCCAGACTGATGAATCATTCGGGCCCCATCGTTAGACAGGCTGTTATGCTCATTTCTGAATATTTATAAAATAATTAAACGAACTCTCTTGAACGTGTGCAACCTTCCATTTAGACCGGGATTTGTTACAATATGTGAAGGAATGAAATTAAATTGACTTTAATTCATGTGTATTTAAATAGAGTCTTTTCAACACAATCTTGTGTTACACTAAGAAATCTTTTTATATTGTTGTAAAAATGTGCCTGAATATAAAAAGATAAGCAAGAAACTGAAAATGTTTTCTGCAGTTAAATCTGTCATATAAATGGCAAACTTCTCTATTTTTGCTGAATATGTCAGTATTTGAATTTTTTACTGCAATCAATCATTTCCTTTTATCTTACCTGTTGAAATGGCTTTTGGTTTTTTGTGAGTTTTTCTTCTGTCTGCTGTTTCCTTCAGTCCTCCACTAGATGGCGCCAAGAGGCTGCAGCTACTGGAGGGCGTACCTGGACTCAGCACACCTGTGACCATTTTCCTCTAGGAGGATAAGAGGAGCGGGCTGCCTGAGTGTTGGCTCTGCTCTTTGAGCTTCCTTTGATTGTCTCTAGTGATATTTACCTGTTGCTCTTCTCTCAGGTGTTTCCTTGGATTAGACCGCCTGGTTGCCTGAGTCCATCTCCTCCTCGGTTGAAGATTCTCTGACAGTTCCTCGCTCCACTGCTGGCTGTCGGGCCGCTCCTCGTGCCTCATCACAAAAACTTACCGGTTCGCCCTCCACCGCAGCCTCGACCTTCCACCGTCAAAGAACTGGACCAAACTCTGGATCATCTCAAGAACTCCCTGCAA